CCTCTGATTCGGCTTTGGACCCACCAATTCTGCCCTTTGCCCCTCCCCAACTGCTGTCCAACTGCAGTTCACCTCCACCACCTGCCACTTCCAGCCCACCCTGTTATCACACATTCCCCCTCTCCAAAAGCAAAAGCCAAATAAACCTGCGTCTAGAGAAGGAGAAAAATCCACCCCCTCAGCCATGCCAGTCTTAACTGAAAATGTAAATAAGTAGGGCCTTGCCTTCATTTGCATTCACGGTTGCTTCACACATGTCAATTTTCAATACAGAGAGAATATAAGGGGGGAAAGTGTACCCCTGATATCAGAGATGTCAGTAAGTATCTGTTTATAACTTAGATCTGGCAATCACCCAGAGTAAATCATGTTAAACTCCAGTCATGATTTCAGCTAGCAGATGATGTCATTTCTGTTCAATTATTTTGCAAAAACTAGTCAGTTTCCTTACTTCAGCCAAGAGTTTTGTTGTAATTATTGCTTAATATTAATGCTTTCTCTGCTTTTCAGCTCCTTTTAATACAACTTTAATAAATAAGGATATTAGAACTACATGACTCTATGGTTGTAACACAGCAAGCAATTACTCCATTTATTTCTACAATATAACTGCAAGTTTTATAAAAGTAATGCAGATTTTTTAGCACCTTAAAGGCTAACTAGCTTTTATTTTATAAATTAAAGTAATAAACAAATATTTGGCAAAAGCTTTTTATAGACTGCAGCCCACCTCCTCAGATGTACAGAATGGATCCTCATCTGCCAGATATATACTTGGGGAAGGGATGAAAATGCAAAACATACCACTGTTAAGTGTTGATTTTAACAGTACTTTTTAAACACTCATTGGCTGCAATCCTGCTCATGCAGCTGCATTGCATAAAGCTTATGATGTCATCAGTTGCAACAACTGTTCAGAAATAAAACATTTACAATCCTCCTAAGGGTCTCAGGGCTCATGTGGAATCCCTTTCAGTGTGGGGAAGTCATATGGGACTTCTGGACAGGAGAAGTCTTTAATTTCTGCCACCACTGGGAAAGTAATTCTGGCTGGGGCAATTTTTGAAATCTGAAGTCTCCCCCGCCACCCCGTCTTGCAGCCCCATTGACTTCCTCATGACGAAAGGGATTTCATGGGATCCTTGAGACCTTGACAAGGGGATTACTGTATTTCCAAAAAATGTAGCAATGGCTGATGACATTACCATCCTTACTCAGTGTAGCTGTGCAAACAGAATATCAGACAATGACAACCAAATTCTAGCATAGATAGAAAATGTAACCCACTTATGCAGACCAGAAAGCTATATTGTAACATCAAAACCTTTTCCCTGGGATTGGCAACCTGTTGTGTGCACGTTTTCCAAAAGATGTCCCCTTGCCTTTTTAAATTAAAAAAGGGAGGACTAAGAGTTAGCTATGAGTGTCACTGGCAACCAAGGTCAAAATCATCCACACTAAGTGAAAGAAAGACTGGGACAAAAATTAACTCATTTGAAATGTGGTGTTGGAGGAGAACCTTATAGATGCCACAGATAGCCAGAAAGGCAGAAAAGTGGGTGCTCTGTTAAATCAAGCCTGACTTCTCACTAGAGCACAGAAATGGATAAAGAGAGGCTAACCTAACACGCACATATAATGAAAATATAGAACTGACTAGAAAAGACAATATTGCTGCGAAAGGGGCTGGGGGGTGGGGAAATAGGAAGAGAGAAGTTCTAATATGAGGCAGATTGTCTCAGTAAAATAAGCCACACTGTCAGGTTGCAAGAAATGAGCAGAACTTTCTGGAAAAAAAAACAATACAGTATTGCTAAAGGAGCAGGGGACAGTAGGAAGAGAGAACAAGCTAGCATGAGATTTTATTGGTTTACACAATCTGAGCAGAGCTGTTATTGGCAGGCTATTTTGGAGGTAATTAACTCATACAATCACCACACATCAAAAGTGACTCAATGGCACATAGCATCCTTGGAGTTTTTTCTTAATTACCATACATTTGTATGGTGACAAGATGGGAGAAATGGTTCAAACTATGACAAGATATAGGCACCCAAGCTCTGCAACATCAAGTAAGACTAATCACAACACTTAAACAAGTAATTTTGCAGCTTAAGAAAGTGAACTTCTAAATATTTGTTCTCTGTTCTTTTGGAAGTATCTTTTAAAATATTTTTACAACCAGACATGGAATCCTTTTCCCAGCAAGCACCAATGCCTGTGTGGAGAGGAAGCAGTTAAAATGTTTTCTTCCCAAGAGTTAGCTAATTGGGTCCTGATAGATAGGGTAAAAAGTTCAGGATTGCCTAGACGTGGGGCTGATTTCCCTTTTGTAGACTTGTATCAGGACCCGTCTCAGAAATCCTGAGAGAATGCTTAGTGAAAGCACTCAGATCTAGGACAAACACAACTGTTCTGCAGTCTGTACTGTAAAAATACTCTGAATATACCTTACAAAATTATATGCTAATTCCGTGGAGATACATGGCAAAATGTCTGGAAACTGTCTCTCCATTACTTTCTTTAAAGAAAGCTTTTCTCGACTCTTCAAAGAAAAACTGTCTTTTGGCTGTTTCTGTGACCTTTCATTGTACTCCAAACATTTCACTTCTGGGCCACAAAGCTGCAGCAATATATCTACTTTGAAATGCTGGTAAACCTATTCTAGGCATGCTCAGTTTATAACAAGGTCACTGTTTCACCCTTTTGAAAAGCCTTTTTGGAGGATCAATATTTCAGCCCCTGCAGCCTGGATTCCTTCCAAATTAAAAAAAAAGTGAGTGGGACCAAACATTCTCTTTCAAGATAAGCGAGATTAGTCTTTTCAATGTATTTGATCTGTTTCAAATCTGGGAACATTTAAAGTCACCTGTTTCTGGGAGGGGCAGTTTTGCATTTTAAAAATCATAACTAGAAAATGCTTTCCCCAAAGTTGGCACAGAGCAGGAACAGACTATCTATTATGTCTATGCCAAATTTGGTGTTGACCTCAAGTCCAGTTTCAAAAGTCTAAATTTTTGTTCAGGTTGTCCTTATTTTTAGAATCATCCAGTAGAATGCTGATTTGCTGTGCTGCACAATAATATCATTGCACTCTGGAACAGGGATAATACAAGTCCTTAATGCTAGAAGTAAAATTTAACAGCATATGAAGGGTGAGTTGAGGAATCACCAAAGCCCCCCTTCTCTATTAGCACTGATGCCTGGAGATGGTGGGATCAGTAGTCCAGCAAACCTTAAGGCAGAACTTGGAAAAGTTAGCTTTGTGGACTATAACTCCCAGAATCCCTCAGACACGTTTAAACTCCATCACCCACTGGTATGGGCCACCTTGGTTTCCTCGCAAGTCCTGCCCAGCAGCAAACTCTGCCAAAGCTCCCTAACCATAGCCACTGTCGGGAGGGTGCCTCAATTCCTTGATCCGCATCTCTGTGAGAAAAGGCGGTCACGCCCCTTCTCGCTGCTGAGAAACGTCGGAGAGTCGGGGCGCCGATCGAAAGTTCAGCCTTGGCCGGCCCTTAGATCAGCCTCGCGCGTCACCGCGCCGGCACGCGCGCAAGGCAGGCCACGAGGGGCTTCTTCCTGCCGTTCGCAACCCAGCAAGAGGGCGCGAGAGCAGGGCTCGCGGAAGAAAATGCGCTGCTGTATTTACAGATCACTGATCGGGGTTGCTTTCCTTAACAGCAATATAAACCTGCCATTGGGCTGCCTGAAAACCTGATTGCCTCGGTCTGATCCAAAGGAGGCGTTTCCCTCCTCCTCCTCCTTGCTCCCGAAAGCAAGGTGACTTGTGTTGATCCAAGGGGGGGGAGGGGCGGAGGGCCGGCAAATCTCCGGGCCGAGGATCGCGGAGTTTGTTTGCAGGGAACAGAGGGGGACGCCTCCGTGCGAAGGGCTAAAAAGCAACCCGACGAGGTGCACGGCCGCAGAACGGCCCTCGGCGAAGCTGCGCGTGCCACCTCGAAAGCGCGGCTCGGATCCGGGGCGGGC